GAACCTGTCCTTTCTGTCTCGGGTCGCACGCTTGAGGAAGAGGATCCCCGGAAGCCCTATGTTCTCTCCAAGCAACTGGCAGGTGCTCTCAGGGCCTTGGCACGCGGTGGTCTCTGGACTCCAGCGAGGCGCCATCACTGTGGATATCGAGATACTCCTGCATGTGAAGTCTGCGAAAGTGAATGCGCAGATATGTTCTATATACCTTGGATGTGCGATCGCGCGAGAGAAGGGCGCCAGGGCGTCTTTACTGATGAAGTTGAGCAGCCCCTACTTCCGCAGGTTTCCCCTTCATTGCGGTTTTGGTCGCGAGGGCTCTTGGACAAGCCCTTGCCCCCAGGACTTCCCCCACGTGACGACGCAGGTTCCTGGTCAGTCTTATATGTAGACGCCTCGTTCGTCACGGGGCAGGTTTTCTCGGACGGGGCTTGCAGGAAGTTCGCGCACTGGGCCGAGGCGTCCAGAGCAGGATGGGGTTTTGCCAGACGGTCAAGCTCGTCCCGTCGGGCCCGCTGCCAGGACCTGCCCAGACATCCCCACGAGCAGAGTTGTTCGCAGCGCTGCAGATACTACGCGTCGCCCTCCTCCCCCTCACGATCTACACGGATTATCCGCAAGGGCTTCGCCCCCTGCCGCCGGCCCCCTCTCTCGGAGAATGGGCCATGGAAGAACTAAGTCATGAGGCTTTGGCGCTGTCGTGCAGCAGTATCGGAACTTCATGCGAGGCCGACTCGCAATCGGCAAAACCAGCTGATCACAAGAGGGGTTACCACACAGGGCGATTGGTAAGACGTGTATGGTACACGAGCTTGGTTACCACACCTTGGGATTAAAGGGCCGAGGGAATACTCGCAGTTTGGATTGCCACGCCTTGCGATGGATGCGCGTGAGGGGTGGCACCGAATTTCAGAAATGTGGCAAATCCCTTGTGTTTTTGGACCCTGACCCCGCGGATCTGCGTGAGGGGTGGCACCGACTTTCAGACTTGTGGCAAATCCCATGTGTTTTTTGACCCTGACCCCGCGGATCTGCCTGAGGTGTGGCACCGAATTTCAGAAATGTGGCAAATCCCATGTTTTTTGACGACCCTGACCCCGCGGATCTGCGTGAGGGGTGGCACCGAATTTCAGAAATGTTGCAAATCCCATGTGTTTTTGGGACCTGACCCCGCGGATCTGCGCGAGGGGTGGCACCGACTTTCAGAAATGTTGCAAATCCCTTCTGTTTTTGGACCCTGACCCCGCGGATCTGCGTGAGGGGTGGCACCGGATTTCAGAAATATTGCAAATCCCATATGTTTTTGGACCCTGACCCCGCGGATCTGCGCGAGGGGTGGCACCGAATTTCAGACATGTGGCAAATCCCATGTGTTTTTTGACCCTGACCCCGCGGATCTGCGTGAGGGGTGTCGATTTCGAGCCCCCCCCAGCAATTCAGACAACGCGCCCAGGTGAGGCTAAAAGTCTTGTTTGGGCCCCCCCCCTCGCGCGGTCAATCAACTAGTTACAGTAACCAGCAAGAAGTCAACTAGTTACAGTAACCAGCAAGAAGCAGAAGTGTAACACTGGAAACTACAACCTACGACTGGTACAGGAAACTGCGAATCACGTGCCTCGCAGCCTGGTGGCCCCACAAGGGGGCCGGCGGATCTGGACCCCCCTCAAAGGCTCGAACGGGGACCCGCTTGGGGATGTCATCCGCGTCGACCGAATTCTGACTTATGGTGTGAGATATGGCTCCTGATAGGAGACTTAGGAGGCCTCTCATATGATTTAGCTGTGTGTCATGTTTCAGCCCACCAACGAGGGCAGAGCTACGAGGCTCGGGGGAATCGTTGGGCTGACTTTGCGGCCCGTCAGGGCCGAGACACGCACGTTGCACTTACGAACGAGACCAAGCGCCTCAAGAAGACGTTGATGGCGGCTCGGAAAGCTTTGGTCTGGATGGCGCGGCCCCACACTGCCTACACGGCCGCCACCTCGTCGCCAGGACAAGCTCGGTTCGACCAGCGTCGGAAGGCCCGTGCGAAACGCAAGAGCACGCCTGACGAATCTAACTTGTTTCACGCTTTTTACCCGCACGGGCGGGGGTGGAAATGCGCCTGCGAGGCCACCGCCTACAGTGAAAAGCCGAGGAAGATAACCTCGCGACGCTGGTGTCCTGCGAAGCTTTCTTTTCGCGAGAAGGGGGGCATTGCCCAAGGTTTGCGGAGTGCCCAGGCTGCCACGGTCCCTTCGAGCTGTCCGCTCAATCCCGCCCAGACCCGAGGCGCTGCCAAGAACCCCTGGGGCCTCGTCGGGTCGTCGTCGTCGGTTCCTGTCGGTGGCACCTCGAGGATCAGGGCCAACACTGCCGCAGATGCTGCGGACACGGTTCGCAGAGTTCGAGCGCGACTCAATCTGGAGGATTTGGGAGACGCGCACGGGAGCCAAGAGTCGTCTCTTGACACGTCGCCGCCGTCGTCGCCGTTACCCGCCACTGGCACCGTGCGCATGCGCTCACAGTCTCCTGCTCTCGATGAGCGGGCCGTCCGCTCGCGTTCTCACCCTGGCTCGGCGGCGCAGGTTGCGCCGGATGTCGGAGGGGCGGGGGCGGGGTCGTCGTCGTCGCTGAGAGTGCGCGCGTGGGGGGGGGGGGATCGTGCGAATATCAGACGGCGATCGCCGTCACCTGATCACGTGCTCAGGCGCGTGCGAGCCCGAATGCCTCTTGTCGGGGGAGACCCCTGCCGTGCAGCGCGAGGCCGAGGGTCTCTCTGATAGGCCCCCCCTCCTCCCCGCTCGGATCGCGGGGCCCCTGCCCGCGGATTCGGGCACTCAGAGAGCGGTGCGTTTCGCGCCGCCGTCCCACGGCGCGCTGGACCAGGCCGTCGTGAAGTTCGAGGCGCGTCTCTCTCGCGCCTCTTCCCCCCCCCCCCCCCTTCTCGGGGTAATGGGCACGGATGGGGGCCCCCGACGAAATCGCGTCGGCTCGGAGGCACTCGTGGAGGCAGAGTAGAAGCCGCCCTTATGTCGCCTCTTGGGGAGGGTGATGTCCCACCGAGTGCCGCGCGTGGGCATGGGCTCTTCGTTTCCCCAGGGGTGGTTTTGATTTGTTTGCCCTGCGGGGGGATCTCCACGGGCAAAAAGTCGCCCTTGAGAGATCGATGCCCCCCCGCCTCCATATAGCAAGCGTGCCTTGTCGCATATACACAGGTTTTCGACCCGTCGACACCCTGCTGATTTGCGCAGGTACGAGGATTGTTCCCCATATCCTAAGATGGAGTTATTGTTATTACTTGGACGCCTCCTACTCCTCCTTCTCCCTCCTCCTCTTTTTTCCCCCCCTCCTGTCGGACTTCCTCATATTCACACTTGCTCATACTCAGACTTACTCATACACAGACTTACTCATACTCATATTTACTCGTACTCAGACCTACTCATATTCAGACTTACTCACACTCAGACATACTCATACACAGACTTACTCATACACAGACTTACTCACACCCAGACGTACTCATACACAGACTCACTCATACCCAGACTTACTCATACACAGTATTAGTCATACTCAGACTTACTCATACCCAGACGTACACATACACAGACTTTCTCATACACAGCCCTACTCATACCCAGGCTTATTCATACACAGACTTACTCATACACAGACTTACTCCTACTCAGGAATACTCATACTCAGACCTACTCATACTCAGACTTACTCAACACACATCAGATTTGGAGGATGTCTCAGGCAAGGCGCTGGTTTCAGCACCCCTAAGGGGAGCCGCCAGGGGTGGTTGCACGGGCCCGTTCGCGGCCATTTTGTGGGGATGTCTCAGGCGGTTTGCCTGTTTCTGGGTTCAACATCCTTCGCTTGGAGAGCAGATTGTGAGGATGTCTCAGGCGGGGCGCTGGTTTCAGCACCCCTAAGGGGAGCCGCCAGGGGTGGTTGCATGGGTTCGTTCGCGGCCATTTTGTGGGGATGTCTCAGGCGGTTTGCTTGTTTTTGGGCTCAACATCCTTCGCTTGGAGAGCAGATTGTGAGGATGTCTCAGGCGTGGCGCTGGTTTCAGCACCCCTAAGGGGAGCCGCCAGGGGTGGTTTGCACGGGCTCGTTCGCGGCCATTTTGTGGGGATGTCTCAGGCGGTTTGCCTGTTTCTGGGCTCAACATCCTTCGTTTGGAGAGCAGATTGCGAGGATGTCTCAGGCGGGGCGCTCGTTCCAGCACCCCTAAGGGGAGCCGCCAGGGGTGGTTGCACGGGTTCGTTCGCGGCCATTTTGTGGGGATGTCTCAAGCGGTTTGCTTGTTTCCGGGGTCAACATCATTCGCTTGGAGAGCAGATTGTGAGGATGTCTCAGGCAAGGCGCTGGTTTCAGCACCCCTAAGGGGAGCCGCCAGGGGTGGTTGCATGGGTTCGTTCGCGGCAATTTGTGGGGATGTCTCAGGCGGTTTGCTTGTTTTTGGGCTCAACATCCTTCGTTTTCGGAGCAGATTTGGAGGATGTCTCGAGCGAGGCGTTCATTTTCACCCCCCAGGTGGGCCAGATTTTGAGGATGTCTCGATCGATTTACTTGTTTTGGTGGCCAAGCTCGCGGGCGCAGATTCTTTTCAGGATGCCACAGGAGGCTCCAACAGGCTCCAGGAGGCCCCAGGAGACCACATGAGGTCCCAGGAGGCATCAGGAGGCCAGAAAGATTCAAGAGGCCAAGGATGTCCCAAGAGGCTCCAGGAGGCCCCAGGAAGCTCCAGAAGGTGGCCCCAGGAGGCAACAGGAAGCGCCAGGAGGCCTCGGAAGGCAACAGGAGGCCCCGAGAGGCCCCAGGAGCAGGAGGCCTTCAGAAGGCAACAGGAGTGGCTCCAATCCCATGTGTTTTACGTATGCTCCTATCGATTGGGCCTCACCTGGAGCATGATTCTTTGATGTTCTACGTATGTTTCTATAGATGGTCCTTCTCCTGTGTACACAATCCTAAATGTTTTACTCATGTTCCTATGTATTGGGCCTCTCCCGGGGCACGAGTCCTTGGTGTTTTACGCGTGTTCCTATAGATTGCTCTTCTCCTGTGGCTCTAATCCCTCCGTAGCCATTTTGGCTCAAGCGTTCGCACGGCCGTCGCCCCGCGTCCTGGCTCAAGGGTCCGCCTCTGGCGAAAGCCTATCGGCGCGGCCCTTCGCCCGTGGCGCGGATGGCGGCGCCTAGAGGGGCTTGGTCGGCCCGCGACGCCGCCCTCCTGGTTGAGGCGGCGGTCCGCGGGGCCGTCTCTGCGAGTGCGCCGCGGCGCACGGTCGCGGCGGTGGCGCGGTCGGCTGCGTCGGCCACCCTTTTCGGGGTGGGCCGCGGGGCCGAGGGCGCCGTGCCGCCGCCGCCCGCTGCTGCTGCTGGTGATGCTCGCCCTGATCCTCCTGACCGAGCTGGCGCTGCTGGGGCTGACCCTGCGGCGCGAGCCGCGAAGCGCCGCCGCCGCCGCCAGCGCCGTGCTGCGCGGCGCGCGGCCGCCCAGGAGGAGAACAACATGGACGTGGAGGTGGTGCCCGCTGGGGCGGTCGCTGGAGCTGCCGCTGGCGCAGCTGCTGTTGCGGCTGCAGCGGCGGCCACCGCCGACGATGACATGGACGACCTCGATGACGAGTGGGCGGACGACGTTCGTCGGGCCGCCTCGGGCGCGGCGGCGGCGGATCCCGCTGGAGTGGGAGGAGCTGCCGCCCCTGCCTGGCCGCGGAGGCTCAGGCGGAGGCCCGAACACGCCCCTGGGCGCGAGGGCCGGTGGGTCGTGGACGCGGAGGGCGCTGGCGCGGCCGGCGCGGCCGCGGGCACGGCGCTGGCACTCGCGAGGGACCCGGGGGCAAAGGGGCAGGCGGACGCGGCGGTGGCGGCGGCGGAGCCTGGCGGCGGAGCTGCTGCCTCGGTCGCGGCGGCGGGGGCGGCGGCTGCCCTCGAGGGCGCGTTCGCCGCGGCGGACGGCGTCCTGCGGAGGGCGGCCGATTGGCGCCCCGAGGCGAGCGACGACCTTCGGCGCATGCTGGAGGCCGTCCGCTGGCACCCCGCCTAGGCCCTACGGGCTGGCCCGCCCTTGGCGCGGGCGGCCGCGGCGCGCGTCCTCCTCCCACGGCTTCGCGTTCGAGGTCGGCGGCGGGCAGGGCTTCCTCTTCCTCGTGGCGGCGGACCCCGAGGTGGAGGTGGTGGATCCGTGCGCTGCGCACGGGGAGCTTTGTGTACAAAAAATGTGGCTCTAATCCGCAATGTTTTATGTACGTCTGTTGCTATAGATTGCGCCTCTCCTGGGGCACGAAACCTTCCTAGGAGGTCCCAGGAGGTCCCAAGAGGCTCCTGGAGACCCCAGGAAGCCCCAGTAGGTTTCAGGAGGCCCCAGGAGGCCCCAGGCTCATGCACAGAGACGCGCTCGTATTACTGAGGCTCATTCACACTCCAATTCATTCGTAGTTAGATTGATGTCCAGACCGTCACAACTGAAGCCCGTTAATATTCGAAAGTTCTTGCGCCTAGACATTCACGGCGGACAAACCCATGCGAGTAGATGCACATATGGGGAGCTCCACGCAGTGAATAATTTTTGTCTCAGCGTCGTCTGCAGTATTCAGATCCTGAGCTCCACTGGTTGCAGCTCGAACTTCGTGGATTTGTCTTACAGTGTTCGTCACATTTTATACGTTCCCTCTGCGCTTGCGCGCTCTCCCCGCCGTGATCCCCTCGTGGGGTGGGCGCTTTGAGGTTTTCGGGGTGAATTTCGTGCGTTTTTTTTTGGCCAGGAACGAAAGCCAAGAATAATCCACGCGAAATTCACTTCGTTTTTGGCCCGCCGCTTCGGGCAGAAATCCACACGGAAATCCGCTGCAGCATGTCTGCAAGGCCGGCGCAATGACACGACGGGAGGCCGAACAAAAAGGCCCAACGCCTTCCGTCCGAGAGGCGCGCGCACGGCAACACGGACGAGGGATCCGATCCGAGGATCTGGGGTTAAGTCGGGCCCGTCCCTCTACAGGAGGAAAATTCGAAAATAGTCAAAAAATAGTCAGGGGACTATTTTTGGAGTATTTTGTCACCATGTGGGAACATCTTCGGGGTATTTTTTATTTTTTCGTCGAAAGTGCCCCTGTATGGGGGACCGGCCCGACCTAAATCTGGGGCGAGGGCACCGGATCCACGGATCGGGGAAAGCACCCCCGAAGCGCGAGGCCAAGGCCGCCCGACGTGGCCACGGGGGGCGCCGATCCGGAGCGAGAGCGGGGCCCGCCGCGAATCCCCCTACAGGAAGAATATTCGAAAATAGTCAAAGAATAGTCCGGGGACGATTGGTTGATTATGTTTTGACCATGTTGGGGTATTTACTATTTTTAATTTTTCGCCCAACATGCCCCCCTGTAGGGGGACAGGCCCGACCTAACGAAAGCGGGGCCCGCCGCGAATCCGCGCGCTTTCGTCGGGACTTTCCAGGCCTCCGGACCGTCAACGAACGAATCGGGATAAGAAACCGGTCCCAGGGAATAGGTCGAGACTTCTGGGGGTCGACGTTCTGAGAGAATCATTACGTCGGGGGTCTGGGTCCTCAGCGGGCGGACCTGCACCAGGCCGGTGGCGCAGCGAGGCGCGCGGGCCGAGCGGGCCCGCTCCGGCGCAGCGCCGTCGGGCCACAGCGGAAGCCCATGCCGAGAAGCACCTTGGGCGCTATGGGCTGCTTCGGCTTCCATTATTATCGCGCATCATCCTCATGTTACGGCTTGACTGTATATGAGGGAGTCCGACCCCCTCGGCCCCCCTCGTTCCGCCCTCCCTCGCTCCTCCTCCTCCTCCCCCTCCCCCTCCTCCTCCTCCTCCTCCTCCTCCTCCTCCTCCTCCTCCTCCTCCTCCTCCTCCTCCTCCTCTCCTCCTCCTCCTCCTCCTCCTCCACCCCCTCATCCTCTTCCTCCTCCTCGTCCTCCTCCTCCTCCTCCTCCTCGTCGTCCTCCCCCTCCTCCTCCCCTCCTCCTCCTCCTCCTCTCCTCCTCCTCCTCCTCCTCCTCCTCCTCCTCTCACGGGTTGCCTGTGCTGCACGTGCCCTGGGCGCCTCGTCTTCTGGCGGCCTCTGCCGGCCTGCATGTTCCTTGTAGCCGATGCGCGGGGCTGCCACGGCCGCGGCGCGGGCGAGGCTGGGCCTCCCGGTGCTCCCTCCTTCGGCCAGCCTCTCCCCCCCGTCTCCTCCTCCTCTCCCCATGGCCCCTCGCTCCTCCTTCCCCCTCCCGTTCTTCCCCTCTCCTCCTCCTCCTCCCCCTCGTCCTCCCCTCCCTCTCCTCCTCTCTCGCCGCCCACCCTCCCGTTTCCCTCGCCCCAACCGTGCTCCTCCCCCTCTCCTCCTTCTCGTCCCTCTCCCCCCATCCCATCCACACGTAATTACGCAATACGTATTGCTCTTCTCTCTCTGATTACTACGTGTTGGAGGTATCCCGCCCTCTCTGTGTGCTGCTGCTGATACAGGATAACCAGCGTTGAGTTCTCATCGGTTCCCCTCCCGAGCACATAGTGTTTTGTTCAATTGAAGTGCCCCTCCTGGGGCTCGCACCCTGTTTTCGACGGAAATTACTGGGCCTCAGATTGGCACCCCGCCCCCGAACTACAACAATGTTAAGACTGTTCGTCCCCATCTGCTCGCGTGCCATTTTGCACGAAAATGATTGGGCCCCAGTCTGGCGCCGTGCCCCAAAACTGCAGCAGCAATCATTTAAGACTGCTCGTTCTCATCTGCTCGCGTGTCACTCAACATGCACACTTCAGACCCTCGATGCCAGCCCTCTTCGTCTCCACGATCGGGCCCTCCCTCGGGGCACGTGTTCCCTGCCTGCCACGTGCAGTTGGCGCAGCCCCTAAGACAGCGGAAGGGAGGAGGGAGAAGACGACAGGGCGAGATGAGGACACAGCACGAGAGAGATGATCAGGAGGGGAGGGAGGGAGGGGGGGGGAGGGAGGGAGGGAGGGAGGGGGGGGAGGGAGGGACGACGATGGCGACGACGACGACTGCAGAACAACAGACTGCATTACCACACGGGCGGGTCAGGCGGTGCGGGACGGGCGGGCGAGCCCAGACGGCGGGGCCGAGCGGGCGGGTCGTTGAAGCATCTCCTCCTCGTCCTCCTCCTCCTCCTCCTCCTCCTCCCCCTCCTCCTCCCCCTCCTCCTCCTCCTCCTCCTCCTCCTCCCCCTCCTCCTCCTCCTCCATGAATCGCAAGCAAGACTTTGGCGACGCGCGATTCCCAAGGAAGCCGCAAGGAAATCCAGAGCGAGAGCGTCACTCTCGAGCGGGGGCGCGGCGTCTCAAAACATTGGGAGGAGCTGCCACGCGAGAACGCGACCCCTGGAAAACGGGTGAGGAAGTCCCGCGCTAGACGTGTGAGGAAGTCCCGCGCTAGATCGCTGTGTTGAATAACTTGTGAGCAAGTAGCAGGCGGGAGCCGCTGTTGTTGTAAAACCGGTGGCGGAGGGGATCAACAGCAAGTTTTCCATAGAGATAAGAATGCAATGTTAGCCAGCGCGGGCCCCAGAAGTGTTTATTGGCATACTAAGTGGTGCAATGTACGTAGCGTAAGCTGTGTAGTGCAAGAGATGCTGTGCAATACAACGAAAGCAGTGCAAAGCAGTGCAGAGCAGTTCAAATAAGTACGGCATAGCAATGTGAAACAATGCAAATCAACGCAGAGCAATGCTACGCACGGCGTAGCAAGGCAACGCAGCGCAATGCAAAGCAATGCAGTGTAATGCGTAGCACAGTATAGCAATGTAACGCAAAGCAATGAAAAGCAAGGCAAAGCAGCGCGATGCACAGCAATGCGATACAAAACAATGAAAAGCAAGACAGCAATGGAACTCAATGCAACGCAAAGCGCTGCAGAGCTAAGCACGGCAAAGCAGTGCACTGCAAAGCAACGCAGTGCAACGCAAAGCAACGCACAGCAATGCAAAGCAAAGCAAAGCAAGGCACGGCGACGAGCGATGGCGACAACAAGCGTGGCGACCGACAGCCAAGCCCAGATGGAGCGGCGACGTACGGCGGCGACGGGCGACGACGGCGGCAACATAGCCGCCAGACTGGTTGACAGGCCCAGACGACGGGCGGCGACGAGGCGGCGATGGGGTATCAACATAGCCGCCAGACCGGCAGACAGGCCCAGTCCTGGAGAAATGAGAGAGAGGAATCCCAGAGTGCACGCACTGCTTGGGGAACAACCAGTTGAAGATTGTTTCGCTCTTATCTGGTGGGTGTCGCTCGACGTAGCCCGAACCCTCGATGCCCGCCGTCGTCGCCTTCGCTCCTGCCCTCCCTCGGGGCCCCCTCCCGCCACGGGGCCGCCGACGCGCTCCCACGGCCCGCGCCGCATCCGACGAGCGCGCTCCACCACGGAGACGGATGGCCCCGCACAGTTGGCGCAGCCCCTGAAACGGGGCAAAGGGAGGGAGGGAGGGAACAGGTCTTTTATGCATTCATTGTTCTGCCGATCGGCGCCGGCCCCCCAAACCCCCCCTCCCTCCCCCCCCCCCGTGGAGTAAGTAGATCTTGGCTGTTCTTTGGCGCCTGTTTCGGGTAGAGTCTCCCCCACAGGACACACTGTTTGCAAACAGTCGCACTAAGCAGAGGTCCGGAGCCAGACCCCCCTCTCCCCCCCTTCCGCCCAATGTCGAAACATGTCGAAAGGCCGAATAAGAAAACGCTCACAAAGGGTAATGGGGAAAGACAAGGATGGAGCACGAGAGAGAGAGTATCAGGAGGCGGTTCAGGAGCAGGAAGGCAAGCGGCAGAAGCAGACGGGCGGGTCGGGCGGGCGGGCCCTAACGGGCGGGTCGTCGAAGCATCTGTTCTGCATGGATCGCGAGGAGGTCTCGAGCGACAGCGCGATTCCCCAGTAAATTGAGGAAATCCAGAGCGAGTAATTCGGGGCGCCGCGTATCCATAAACTAATGAATTGCGAGGAAGTGCCATGCGAGAGCGCGATTCCGAGATAAGTTGTAAGGAAGTTCTACAGACGAGCGCGGTTTTGAATAAAGTGCGAGGAAGTCAGACGGGAGCCGCTGTTGCTGCAAACCGTGGGCCAGGGGCCTTTCTGAGCTGCAAAATTTTCCTTTGTGAAGAAGTGGGTGCGAGCCACGTCAGGGGCACTTCAATTGTAACAGCACAATGGTAACCGGAGGGGGGGCATCAACAATAATTATCAAAGACGCTTACGGCGAATCACCGCCGCCCCCTGTCTCTTGGAAT